AAGCGAAGAGTCCAAAGAAAAAGAAGCAAAGTGGAAGCACTTCATCGAGCGATTCGTCCAGCGATAGCGATTCAAGCAGTTGTTCCTGTGGGACAAACTGCAGCTGCAGCAGCTCTTCGTCTGGAAGTTCTTCAAGTTCTAGTAGCAGCTCGGATTCGGACAGCTCTACCTCGGAAGGCTCTCCAAAGAAACAATCCAACCGCAAGGATAGGAAGAAGGATAAGGAAGCTGCGCAAGAACCGGAAGTGTCCGTCGAAGTCGATAACAAGGTGTCCACGGAGATGGAGAACGGGAATGCAGCAGGCTCAACGGACCCAATGTCTCAGCCACAGCTCGTGCTGAGGGAGTCTGATCTAGAAACCGAGGAGACGGAAACAGATGAGGACTTCTACGACGAACATCCTCAGCAGCTTGCGAACAAACTCCTCGCTGAGAAACGAAATCAGTTATTGCTCCTGGCAGCGGTTGCACCAGCGTCCACAGAGTCGACGATGCCCCTGAACAACGGCTTGACGGACACAGATACCGCGATTCCCTCTCCAGACCCCATGCCTAGCACTGCAGAAGACCAGCCGCAGCAGAAGAGGAAAGTGAAGACGAAGAAACGGAAAAAAGGCGAGAGGGCGAAACAGCGTAACGCGGCGCCAGCCGTGGAATCCATTAAACTAAACATTCCTAAAGCGTTTTACCAAAAGAATCCCGGCTTCTCGGCTTCGTCGCCGGCGTTGATGCAGCCGAGCATGACATCCGCACCGAGCGTTTCCGCGAGCGACATGCACACCGCGAACGCGGCGGTGGAGCATCACGCGATGGGAATAACGAACCAGAATGTTAGCGGCAGTGGCTCTGAGACCGAGAACAAGCGTTCGTCGAAACGAAAGCGTGTACCTAAACGATTCTATGGCGATTCCAGTGACGAGGAGGCAGACAAGCAGCCTTCGATTAAGTGGAGGAAGGTGGAACCACCTTCGTTCGCGACGGTACCAAGTCTGAAGCCTTTGCCACCGAGATTGTCCTTTGGTGGAAAGACCATGGCGTACAGACCGATGGAGACCCAAGCGGAAAGCTTGAGAATCGCTACGGCCTCCGCGACGGAGTCAGAGGAACCAGTAGAAAGCAGCAGCGATTCCAGCGACTCCGAGGTGGAAGCCAGCCAACAAATGCAAACGCATTTGCCTGAAAGCAACGCGCCTATCCCGGAACGCGCGGTCAACCTCTATTGTTATTGTCAGTGTCCGTACGACGAGGTCTCGGAGATGATAGCCTGCGATGGTGAGGACTGTCGCATCGAGTGGTTTCATTTCGAGTGTGTCGGTATCATGGTGCCACCAAAGGGCAAGTGGTACTGCCCGGATTGTAGAAAGAAGCACGGTATCGTGCAGAATAGCGAGGACTACTTTGACTGATAGCAGCGAATGGTGTCTGCGTGTTGAAATTGCTTTCTAGGCGTACTGGACGGTGACCGTTCAATTTTCTCCAAGCCTTCTTCTTTTGTAGTGTTTTGAACGGTTTGTGTGATGCGTTCAGGTTGCTTCGAGTGATGTTCGAATGATCCTTAATGTTTTGAACTATTTAATGAATTTGAGGATTTCGAAGGTTTCCGAAACTCTGTATCGTCGACATTCCTTGAGAGCCTCGAATTAAATAGAATTGTACAATATAGTATCGTTAAAAAAAAAAACAAAAAAAAACAACTTGAAGTGGTTAATATGAAATTATTGTAAAACAATAAATTAAGAAAGGTGTAAGAATCGCACGAAGTTTTATATGAAAATTAGATGTATTCTTTTACGTGCAATGATAACATTGCATTTCTGATAGTATTATGTAAGATAGTTCTCGTTTTATTACATGTAGTTCTAAATGAGCTTGTTAGAAAAAGTCCTAGGTAGACAAAAGCTGAAAATGTTCATAGTTAATTTTGGCATATGGAAATATTTATTTTAGAACGCTCAAAATAACGACTACTGTTATTAATGCAGTTATGAAAATCTATCACGAGACAAAGAATTTGAATATTTTGCAAAAGTGACCGTTCATATCACTATTCCATGTAGATTTAAATTTAATGAATTCTTGAGATAGTTAATCATAACTTGAGCATACAGATTATTTATAATTACTCTATTCTCTCGAGGGTCGAACATTATACTAATATGGCAAAACATTCAAGTTTTTTTTATATTAATTAGTATTTGTTAGATCTTTCAAGATTTTCTAGATTCTCAAACCTTTAATGTGATTATACTCCTCACTAGTCGTCCGCTTAGCTAATGGTGAAACTAGATACTTTTTCTATACTAGAAACTACTTTAAATGTATAATTGAAAGTGTCGAATCCTTTTAAATATTATTCAAAGTTGTATGTTTTTAAAAAGACTCCGAATGTCTCCAGCGACATAACTATTATACATAAACTTTCAAATGTTTTGAGTAGCGGTAGAAGTTCCATTTTAATATTAATTAATGTTAACAATTTATAATTGTATTATGACCTTTTATTTACACAATTTCAACCAAGTCTCGATAGTTCGATTGGCTCTCAAGGAATTCGAATTCTTCAAGATACAAGCGGCCAATTGGAGCCAATTCAAAGTCCTCAAAATTCATTTATTGTTCAAAAATGTTCGGATATTCTTCACGTTGCGAATAACGTTCGATTTAGTTGTATTTGAACGTAAATTGCCGGGAAATTGACTAGAGCGAAGAGAAAATTGTACAGTCGTCGTTGCTCTAAGCGACTTTTTTCCTCTTTCTTCTTCGTAAACAAACGAATCGTAAACTGTTCCACGTTGATATTTTTCTTAAGCTGATACAATAACGAAAAAAATGTATATAACTGTACATACGCCTTAGAGTTTATAACAATGAAACTTTTGTGTACATTTGTTTGTACTTCTTTTAAACGACGAAAATGCGCCGTGTATAAATTGATTAGTCTAGCCAATTAGGCGGTGTAGCGTTCTATAGAGCGAAACCTAGGCTACGTCGTGTAGAACGACAAATTTTTCGAGTCTAGCACGAGAGGGGAGGGCTGTGTTTTTATCAATTCGAAATCGCGATATCGCGGCTGATACGACTGTCGGCACTGCTGGCGGTGTCTGTGCCCTGTTCGATCATCGCATTCCTTGAAGAACCAATAATTTTAATTTTTAAAGTACGCGTAACCCACTTTGTACGCTTTCAACGATCTTTTTTCCATTCAGACCGTGATTTTCTTCTTTTTACTTCTTAAAGTTGCAAAATTTTTATAATTACACGCATTGAGATTTTCGTCTCCTCTTCATCCATTATTTTCTATTTACTATTATGTTGTATTCCGCGAAACTTCCTTTGCAACGTTTCAATCTATTTCTCCGTGCTTTTTTGTTAAAATAATCGACGAGTTAACGAGCGGATTTTTTATCACTATCTAGTCTAGTTATTATTTGTTCTTCGTAAACAGCTCTTCTGCGGACAAAAAGATTTCTGAATGAGTACACAGCTGTATGAATTTATTGGAACCGATTGCTAGGCCTATACGGAACGTTCTGATTCCTCTAAACCACTTTCGGTGTAGCGTTGTACGTTGAAATTCGAATTAACGTTAGTGTGATATTCTGCGGGCGAAAATTTGATGTACCGGACACGATACCCGATCGAAGAATAATTTGATGTGCGATAAAAACGATTGTTCGAACGCGAATTTCGCTACTTTTTATTTCTAATTTGTAATTGACTTTTATAATTTGTTCGACTTGTAATTTATTTAGCTTTCGTAGTTCGTATTTGATCGAAACCATAAGGAAAGAAACTAGTACTAACAGGATATTAGTATTATTCTGAGCCAAAATTACGCTAATCGTTCTGACCGATCTGATTGTTAAATAAATTACGCGTAATCGAATTTGTTCGTCGTCGAAATATTGTTTTTTTTTAACGTATAAAAGCAGAAAAAATTGCTAACTATGTTAGTATTTATACATGTTTAATAGAACTCGCAATACATGGTAATGATAATAATATTAATGGTAATAATAATCGACGTTAACGTGCCAGCAATGCAAGTAACAACACAGATTAATTATTCGTCGTCAGCCCTCGTTTCCTCTGGCAATTCAATACCCATAATGTCCGTGACGAAATCTTTGTAAGATATCCTCTGTATCATAAAATAATAATACATTACTTTCGGCGAGCCTAAGTGATTGCACTTCTTATTTTCCGTTGACATTTATTCATTAAACTTAAAATTTTGCTAATGAACAAGTAGCGAATAAAGATTCAATAAATCTTCGATAATAATTTCGTCAAATTAGATCGAAGAAAATATTAACCCGCCACACATTTTTACCCTTTCTTTTCATAAAAAAAATTCAAAATCAAAAGTGAATTTATAATATATAAAAAGTAAAATTTTTTCAAAAGTGACACATACCTCTGGCAAGAATGCAAAGTCTTTAAGTATGGATTGTTTATCATTATCCAAATAATTCATTTCATCCGAAGCATCATCAAAGCCAACGAGTAATTTCAGATACATAAAAGCTTCTTCATATGTTAATGGTTCTCCTGACAAAAATTGTTTATGATCGAGATTAGAGATGCATAGAAAAAAAAAATAAATTTTGTTGAAGAAAACGGAAATGTAAACCAACCAAAAGTTTCGTGGGTTTCGTCTGATAACTCTACAGGACCTTTCCCGAATAATATATTCATAAACTGTTTTCGTGTTAAAACTGGAGTTTCCTGATCTAAACGCGGATTTCGAACGGAATTTGTAAAAGCATAGAAAGCTTCTTGCAATTGATTCAAAGAAATTCCAAAAGCTGGACGATGGTTTATGTAAAGTTTTACAAAATCTTCGAACGTAATTTCTTCCACTAATTGACCAGTTCTTGCGTAATTTCTGTAAGATACTTCACCCATAAGAATCTCAATCTGAAATATCAAATTGAATTCGTTATTCATACATCGTAATTAAAATGAATATTTTGAGGTTGAAAAGGTTACCCAATAATTTAGAGAAAGAAGTTATTTAAAATACAAATTGTTACTTCTTCGTTACTAGGATAATATCCAACAGCACGCATAAGGTTTGGTATTTGTTTGGTAGCTACTTTCTCAGAGACAATTCTAGTGGCTGTTGTGTTTTCACCCTGATGTAAAATTTGAGCATAATAGAAAAGATCCTTCATTTCACTGATAAGCCAACCTTTTCTTCCTCCCTCGATAAGACAATAATATGGTGAAAGACTTTGGCCTCCTAGGCTTGCCAGTACATCAACAGATCTAAAGTATAGTGATAGCAGAATGATAATTATTTTGTTCACAATGTGAAAAGTGACCCTAATGTTTACCTGTGTTTTATTTTCCACATCAATACACATGGTTCGTTGTAACCAGAAGTGAACAAAATATTACCATCGCAATTAACACAAACGTTAGTGATCTGTTAAAATTAAAATCATAAAAATAGGGTTCCTTTAACATACATAACAATTTACTAGTACCTTAGATGGATGGCCTATCATTCCCAACATCTTATAAGGATTGCCATCGAAAGGAAGTATTTGAAGACCAATTTCCTTGTCAGTTGCAAATATTACATATCCTTTATTTTGAAATTCTGTACCAGGTAGAACCTGGAAAATTAATATCTATTACAATTATTTTTATTTGAAGAATGCATGCTTGACATGTATTTGATCACCTTGAGGTGTTTAACTGGTGCACCAAAGAGTGGACTTAGAAATGTTCCTCGAATCATTTTTGTTGTGTCATTCAGTAGTCGATATTTGTACTAAACAATATAATTAAATATATTAAAATAACTATAAGTTTTGTGTAAAGTATTTAATGAACAAGCCAGGCATCATGTAATATTAGTAAAAGTAAACATTAGTATACATTCAAGGAATGCTAGAGGAGGATTAGAAGTACAAAAACTTATATGTGCCCCCAAACTTTTGAGCAGTAGCATATAATGTGTATTATAAAATGTATCCTGTAAATAAATAATATACTGAAATCTAACAGATATATTCTGAGTACTTCATGTTCTAGAGTTGATCAAAAAATTTGCAAATTATTACTTCTGAGTTAGAAATCATTAAAAATCTTTCAATTCCCAATTCAGGATACCAGGAAAGGCTAAGAGGAATTGCAGAATACTCTATTTGGTGAATTTCAATTATCTTGAGACCAGGTTCAGGGTAAGGTCCACTACAGAATATAAACCAACTACATAGAATTTGTACCAAAATATTCTTTTTCAAAAATTTAATAAATATCTATTCTACCTATCTTTAAGATCATATTCAATTAGGTTCTTATCTTCTCCCAGGGAAAATAATCTGGGTGCAATGCTGGTAGGAGTAGGTGGACCAAAAAGTATATCTCTTATTGGTGCATAGTGTGTACGATACTTTCCAATAAAATTCCACAGATGAGACCCTGAGTCATGGTTTCTTTTAAACACTGCTACTACCAATGTATTATCCTAAAATAAACATACATGCTTTATATACATTTCCATACATTTCATTCAATTATTGCTAAATTAATATTTACTGAATAAGCCATGTACTCGGCACATTCTGTGAAAGTTAATTTAACAATAGATTCGGTGGAATGCTTGTAAGGAATTTCATCAAGAGGTTCCAGAGTGATAGGATGCAGTAACCAAAGTGTTCCATTATCAAGGCCACATGCTAGTTCATCACCTGTGTATGTTTTATATTGAAGTATTGTTACGTGTATTAAAGTAAATAGTTACTGAATAATCTTATATATCCAGGAATGATAAGATGCTTGCCTATCGGTGAATATTTTAACACGGAAATCGCAGATTGTCTATCGGGGCTTTGAGCACAGGTGACGTAAATGATATTACCATCTTTTATTTGGTCATCTAATACCAAACGTAAGTCTGGAAGAGGAGGTGTTCTCTTGTGGACAATTAGCTTACGTTTCTCGTAGTTGTGCAAACATAACAAGCCATTCACGTTTCCAGTGACTATATAATGACTTACGACAAGAAGTTAATATTAGAGGATTTTGAAGAAATTATGGTCTCATTGAAAAGGAAAGAAGGATATAGGTGTAACAGGTAATATTTTATTGAAAAAAATAAATAAACATGAAAATAATTTCACTTCGTATGAAGTTCGATCCAATGTGGTCTTAAAAAAAAAGTTTGAATTGAGTTTTAAGCTTAACGCTCTTAAATTTTATGTAAAATTTTGTTATAAATAATTTTAGGTACCTTCGAGGATGCGCGTCTAAACTGGTAACCGATGCGTTCACATCGTGTGAGTAAAATCGACACTTCAACGTTGGAATTTCCATTAATGCAATTGCTCCAGTTGAGGTACCTTTACAAACATGTTACAAATATTTTGAATATACTCGTATAGTATTTTACTCATGAAAGAATTATCAAATTATCCAATTTAATTTCTTGAATAAAATATTTTCAATAGCCTTACTGATGAAAAAATTGTCGACGTAAAACGGTGCTTTCTCTAAAGTTGCGTCTACGGGAACGTGGGATGGTTTCACAAATTGTTCCCTTTTCTCATCCCAATCTCTCAACGGGTATTCCAAGTTTATGGTTACCGTGGACGGAACATTATCTTGGGGTTGCAATATTTTCTTTTCTATCTGTTTTACATCTTCCCCTCTTAGATCGCAAATAGTGCTTTTTCTTTTATTTTCCGAGCTTTCTTCAAACTCTCCCTCGTATTCTAGATCCTCCTCTTCATCAAAGTCAACTATAGTTATGTTATACACAATTATAGACATTTAAATAATATAGTTTTAAGCTTTTATTTTTAGTAGTTTTATTTTTAAAAACTTTTCTTCATATATGTCATATATGTATTTCTTTTTTGGTTTAATTCTCCTCCCTCTAATTATTCTGTTAAATAAATGGTTTATTGTACTTACAGTCAGATGTGCTGATGGTAGATACAGGACCCAACAACGTAGATCGAAGATCAAAACTAATCGATCGTATAGAATCCAGACCGCACTTATCACACCAATAAAGAATCTTCAACTGAAGATCGTAGAAGTTAATTCGACCCTCCGAAGTTCCCGTCACTATCATTCTAAAATCATAAGTTCGATAAATATTATCGTATATATAACTTCTTATATGTATTATATTAACTGAATCAAGTTCAATAATTACCCATTATGTTGCAGTATTACAGTAATGCTGCATTTTTGCGTCCGTATAGATCTGATATGTTTCATTTCTCCACCTCTAACATTACTTCGTCCTTTCTCCAAAACTGCATTCCAAACCAAAATGTATCCTCCAAAAAGGAACAAAATAATTAAATTTTAATTATTTTAAATTTATTAAATTTAAATATTTAAATGGATGTTTCACAATACCGTTTGTCGTTGCTGTTAATGCCCGATTTGTTCCCGACACGTAACAGGAAGTATTGAAGATCCCGTAGCGTCGAGTGTTGCCACAAATTTTTGGGTAATTGCACTTCAATTCGTCATGTTGCTAATTAATCACAAAAATTTGTAATTATTTTTACGAGGTAAATATCTGATATTAAAATTTTAATCGAAACAATGAAGTGAAATAACTATATATTTATAAAGGGTTTTAGGATTCTGTTTTTAAATACAAACCCAAATAAAAAATATGACATTATGATCGGCGGTCAAAGCAAATGCCTCTGGAAAATCTTCGTTGAAAGTTATTTCTTTCACCCGATCCGAAGTAATTGCATTCAGCTCTACGGTTGCTATACATTTTTTAAACATTATTAACATCGCAGAAATATAAATGTGTAATTTCTAAATGAATATAGGAAAAAGTTTTACTGTATTATATATCCTAGGATAAAGCTTTTATTTATTTCTATATCTTCTGTATTATCTGCATTATCTTAAAAATATTTTGTATTATTGAGAACGAAAGTAATAAAGTCGAAAAATTCGAATAAACTCGATATACTTCGAAGGATCATGAATTACATCAGCTTTTTTTTTGTACTATTAAGAAAACCTTGCGATTAATAATTAATTTCATTAATTAATCAGATTCATTAACCATTAGGTTCATCCTTTCCATAAGTCCACAGCCAAAATTGAACCTTCTGGTATCTTTCATTGCCAACAGTGACTACGTACTTAGCATTTGGACTTATCTTTGCCGCTGCAAGGTCGTTCTTACCATGTGGATTGAATAGACTACAAGTTGGTACTCTGAAAGTTTACATAATTACAGTTAAATGATGTCAATAAAGTAACAGGTGTATTGCATTAATGAAATTTCATAATTATTAAACAAGTTTTCATGTGTAATGTTCTTAATTTCTTTACCCACTTTCGGTGTCCCAAACGACGACCACAGGATCGTTTTCAAAATCTGCTGACAATAACCATTTCCCATCTTTTGAAACCGAAAGAGTTCTCACTGCATATTGCTGTAAAAGGGGATGTTTATAAATTCGTTACGACAACAATAAAAATATGTAACGATAGAAAAAAGATACCCACGTGACCTTGAAGTGTTATTGCCTCTTTGGTCTCGTAATTATAGATTATTACCGCGTGCGAGCAAGCGTATGCAAAGATCGTTCGATTCTTCGTAGTCAGGTTTATCAGGGATACTTCAGGGTTCATTCCGAAAGACCACAGTAATTTCTGTTTGGATTTTAATGTACGCATAACTAATTCAAATTTTTGTACAAATAAACTAAGTATAGATGTAAGCAAAAATAGGATATAGAGAAACAAGTTATTATATGTATTTTGGCAATATAAGAGTCAGAAGCAAAGGGAACCGCTTATTAGTTAAATAAGAATAAATAGTAAGTAAGATCTTAAAAGTGAAGTAAAACAAAGACTGATAAATAATCTAAAGTATTATGATACAAAGTGTTATAATAGTTTTGTTTCTTTTTCGTTTTTTTTTTCATATCTATTATAGTTGTTAAAACGAATAATTTTTCTAACGCTAAAGACATTTATATATAAAATGTGATAATGAAATTACAAATATAAGTATGCGATAAGTAGATATAAGTACTGTTGTAATAGTCAAAAGATAATACGGTATACGCATAGTACCATATATAATTTTTATATCAGTTTATATAATGTTTGTTAAAATTAACATATAGATACATAGATAAAATAGGATACCAAAAAGGATAGACATATATTTAAAATACATATTGTACAAATCGTCAAGAAGGATAGAGCAAACTGGAAAACTGTACCCATGCACTTAAAATAAACTATTGAAACTAATTCAAATTTTGCGCGGTTCTACAGTATGGCCATCTAGCGGTGAATAAACTGAACTCAAATCCCAACCTCTGATCAGCGCACCACCGGGAAAACGCCCAAGTTTATCCTCGAATAGTTCCGAGTGTTGCTACTAGATGGCGCCATTAACTAAAGGATTTTATAATTATTGCTAAATTGAATAATTATTTATGAAACTGATAAATTGGACATATTAAATAGTGTTACAAATCAAAGAATCATAATAATCATGCATTTATGAAACAAAAAGAATAATTGATCAAAAGATATCTGTGACGGCATCTTACGGAAATTGTGGGAACTATTTTCTTTATAAACTTGGACATTTTTCCACCGATGTCGCCAGTGGTACTAATCAGTAGATGGCGCCATCTGAAGGGAGCACCATACATTAAAGGATTTTTTTTAAACAATAACAATATTCAAATTTAATTCTTATTAGTGTTATTATGAAAGAAGAAGTGGGATATTAGGTATGAGCAATAAGCCAATTTATTATGCATTGTTAAGTTTAATTCAACGTAAAACAGAGCCTACATTGTCTAGTGTAATACTCATATGAATTTATAGGCTAAGCCAAACTGAAAAAATAGGAAAAAATAGTTTACAAGTTGATTACATATATCACTCACGAAAGGACATAGTGCTGATTCATTATCTTCTACCTTAAAAGATTGCTTCGAAGACGACGACGTTGAACTGTTTGACGCCATTTCGATAAATGCGTGTATTAAATACTTAATGTTTACGATGTGAAAATAGCAAATCGCTTTTCAACACTTTTTATCTACAAAGTTTATAGTTAACAGTTACAAAGATATTTCGTAAATGCCTTATTTCACGTGGTAAGAAAGCAACCCTTTTGGAGTAAATAAACAACCGTTTCTGATTAATCATCGGCTATGTTACATTAGAAATAACATTCATAAAATAAGTGATAAAGGATCGATAAACATTTTCAGTTATTTATTTCCAATCGAATGTATACATAATATATTATACCTGAAAAAATGATATTTATAAAAATCGCTATAAGTACAACATGCAAATCAGAGTCATGTCAACAATACGTGCTTCAAAGGAAGCAAATATCTTGTACGACGAGACATGTCGTACATTGATTTATGGTTTATTGTTCAAAATACTGTAATATCTTAAAAATTCTCCTATTTGCAGTTAGTAAAAAAATATTTTCGGTTTAAAGCCCCTATCGGTAAATAAGTCCCGAGACGAAGGTCGACGCACAAGCACGTGAAAACGTTTAGTGTCGGTCGCACTTGAAAATATTCACAGATATCAGCAATGTAACGAGTGTAAAACTACGTGTGCTTTAACTGCAACAACTCTGTGGCTTAGGATCAAGCCCGGAACGTTTGGTTATGGACACGCGTGTGAACTCCTCGGCAACGGTTGGGTGGATGCCAACTGTGTCTTTTAGTTTTGGGAATGTCAAGTTACATCTAAAAGAAAAAATAATAGTGAATAAAAATAACAAAAAGTAAACGATGTCACTCTAAAACTTATATGGGTTACATACTTCATAGCTGCAGAGAAACCTTGGATAACTTCACCCGCATGTGGACCAACGAAATGCAGCCCAAGGATTTTTTCATCGCCGCCTCTAAAAGCCACAACTTTCAGATAACAATTAGTAACGTCCTTCTGGGGGATGAAGAATTCCGTTGGTTTATAATACATATGGTAAACTTCTATCTTTTCCTCTCCGTGAATAGCAATTGCAGCCTCCTCGCTGAGACCGACGCAGCCGTATTCTAACGGACTGAATACTGTCGTTGCTACGTTAGTGTAATCCATTTGTTGCGTCGAGTTTCCAAATAACCTTCTTGCTAACAATCGACCAGCGTGTATAGCAACAGGTGTTAACTCCGGTTTTTTCTAAAATACATACGAATAATTGTAAACGTATTCATAGTACTGGTGTAGAATTTTTAAAAACATCAAGACATTGAATCTTGAAATTTTTGTCTTTTAATATAAAACTTACATGAAGCACATCCCCGACGGCGTATATGTTAGAAACATTTGTTTGTTCGTCTACCGCATCAATCTTTCCAGTGTCTGGAACAAGCTTGAGACCGGCATTCTCAGGCTTCAGTTCTTCCGTGAGCGCTTTGCGACCGATAGCAAAGAGAACAGTATCATAAACATCTTTATGAACTTGTCCATCCTACGGTAATGAGGAATATATTGTATTAGATAAGATTTAAGTGTTTTTTATTTCAATCGAGCATTAGAACATACTTTATTCACCCAATGTACTAGAAGTCGACCATCGCTTTGCTTCTCTATTTTCGCTGGCTTAGCTTGATAAATGAAATGTACACCACGTCTTTCCATTTCTTGAGCAACAATGTTTGCCATTTGCTGATCAAATCCTCGCAAAATGATCGAACGAACCATTATCGTTGCATCAAAGCCTAAACCATTCAAAAATCCAGCACACTCTAAACCAATGTCTGTATATTTATTAAAGAAAATTATCGTGTATAAAAAAATTGAAAAATTAAATTGCTATTTTCATGGAAAAAGGATACATCCTGCACCAACAACAAGGGTTTTTCCTGGCGCTTTCTCCAAACTAAAAATGTCGTCGCTGGTTATAGCATATTCTAAAGCGCCAGGAATGTCAGGGTATTTTGGCCTACCACCCACAGCAATCAAAATATTCCGGGCTGTATACAGTTTTTCTTCCCCATTCTTCTTTTTCCCACAAAGCGTGTGTTCATCCTTGAAATACGCTTGCGCGTTGATGTATTCAACTTCCCTGCGAAGAAAAGAAATAGTCTTATAATTGGACAGGAAGTAAAAAGGTTTTTTTACGTAGAAGTGTAATGGTACTAACTTTGTTCTAAGATCAACACGCGTAGTCCAATTTACAGATTTTACGTGATTTTGTACAGCAGTCCTTAGTGCCTCCCAATTGTGTTGAATAGTTT